GCCAGGTGAGCACGGCACAGCACTCACCACTGTGGCATTTCTCACCGCAAACAGCAGAGTACGGAACGAGGGGGGAATCTGAGCCGGGGCAATGCCCAGAAACCCAGCTTCAGCCTTGTATGTCCCCGACTCAACATCATCTCCCTTTGCAGCAAATTTCCAGCATATTTTCATAGCTACTTCTAGGGGTGAGATGACATGTTTGATGAAGTAATGAGATTTATTTCCTGTAAGAATTCCCACATTTCCCAAATACAGAAGGCTAAAGCAAGCTGAACATCCTATTGCATGCTTTCCAGCACAGACTTGATCCTGCACAGTAACTGACTGGTACATGTAAAAATCAAACCACTTATCTATATGGTAAGTTAATGCTGTTTTAGGCATCAATATTTGAAAACTCTACATGCAATAATTTACTGCACTGTATTGTCAATAAATATATTTTGTTACTGCTCACACAAAATCTACTACGCTTCCCTTTAAAAGAGTATCTGAGAAAGAGAGAAATGCAAATGCGTAGGACCAAGTCTGAAAGCCTCCTATAGCTTTACCTAAAAACCCTAGTTGGCCTAACAAAGGATGCTAACTTTCCCAAAATATACTGTTCTGTACATATATATTCAGCCCATCGTATGTACAATATTTCTATCAAAGAGTTTCAAAATAAAACAGCCTCAGACTGAAGCTCAACTTGGCAATACTATTATTTGGGAACAGTTTGTTACAGTATTTCTTTGCAATTGTTGGAAAAGCTTTTTTGCAAATGGTGAATGACCAAAGTGGAAAATAATTTTTAAAACCTTTGATCTGTTTTCTCACTTTCTTCTCGTCTCTCTCCTCTGACTTTAGTCCCACCTGAACCTCTACCCCTCAGAGCACAGGTGCAAAACTGACGAAGAATCACAGTCAAGACATTTCACCTGCTCTTTATGCCAAGTGCCTGCAGGCAGGACATTGCCTGGTCGAGGTGCACATGTTGTATAGTAAAAAATTTTCTCAAACCAGGAATTGCATTGAGACTACGTATCTGGCAGACAGCTTCTTGTACCTGTTTTGAAGGAAACACCTCACGGGCATTTCAAAAACTTGCTGCTACATCAGCTCCATAATGAATACTTTCAAAATATTCTGAGATCTGCAAAAAGGCATTTTGTTCTTGGGACAAAGAACAGCCTGGGCTCCTAACAGCACCTTGCCCCACACTCCCTGCAAGACCACCTGTCAGAGAGTGGGTGCCTGGCACCGCAGTGAGCCAGCTCAGGTCACCAACCCTCGGACCGCACTCGCCACTCGTCCCACGGGCTGTGTACCAGATCAGGTAGCAGGGGGCAAACTGCTTCTGCTGGAATCCACAGGTTTTCTCTGCATTTTATCTGTCCTTAATTAAGTTTTTAAAAAAATAAAAATTACAGCATGCAATGTTTCAAGCCAAAGTAATAAACCCTGCTTCCTTGAATAGATTTATACCTCTTTTTCCTAAGAGTACTTGTACACTAAGAGTACTTCTATTCATCAGGATTTACCACACCGGTAACAAAACCCCAACCTTCTTTCCACCCTTATGCAACTCATGTGTTCACCACTGCCGTATAAAGCACTCAAGCGTCACTCCCCCCATTTAAGAGTCATGCAAACAAATTCAGGCACTTTCAAGCACCTAAGCCAACTCTGTAGGGCAGCAGGTTGAATGAAGAGATGCCAACCAGAGTTGGGACGGGGGCATCCCAGCGGTGCCGATGCGGTACCCGGCCGCGTACCGTAGCATACAGCCGGTTATTTACAGAGGAGCGAATGCCCATTTCTGCATGCTTTCCGAGCAAAGCTCGCTGCCGATGCTTCAGCGGGACGGGACGGCGGCCGAGACGCCGGCCCCGCTCGGAGCCCCGCTGCCTCGGGCGGAGGGGCCGCCCGCCCCCGTCCCGGCGGGACACTCACTGTGCGGGTCGCTCTTCTCCCGGACGCCGTCCACCCTGCCGTCGGGGTTGATGCGCAGGAAGAAGCCGCCGTTCTTACAGTAGAGCCGCTTGGGGTCCTTGAAGTGCCCGGGAGGGAAAGCTCCGCTGCCCCCATCGTCGGGCAGCGCCGGCAGCGTGGTGATGCTCCCCGCCGCCGCCATGCGCCGGGCCCCGGCGGCGCCCCGCCGCCCCGGGCCC